TGTTTATGTTAAAGCAGTGAATAAATATTTTTTACTAGAACTCCGAAGTTAATTTCTCAAACATCCTATAAAGCACATCAGGTGTAAGTAACGTAATGTAGTGAAGTCCTTCTTGATAAGCCAATAGTCGTTCAGCTGGTGAACAATTTTCCCACCGTTTATATACGATATCTCGAAAATTCGTCACACTCTTCTCAAGAGCCCATTTATATTATCCTCCCATCAACGCCTCGGTCTCGTCCCATCCGATTTTCTGACCTTTTGTCTTTTTCGTTCTTCATCTCTCCCTTGCGTGCTTTGTGCTCCATCTTTATCGTTCGTGTTTATTTCAGATCCTCATATAGTTGTCTATAAAGCTCCCCCCCCCCATTTCTTCGCTTATCGGTCCAAATAGACCGTTATTGCGATTTTTATGTTTTTATATAGAAGACTAGAACGCAGATGAATATGAAGTGAATGGTAACAACCATTCCCTGAGTTTAATCAGCAGTAGTGATATACTGCAGTATTTGTTCCCTTAAATGTGCGCTATGTTAAAGAAAATGTTTCTAGTAGGCCCTAGTTAGAGGCATGAATAAGATAATGTACATTTAATATAATATGAGTGTGTTATGTCTCTGTTTTCTCCCCTACTCACGTCCCCTTCGAGATGCCCTTTAGGATAACATGATGATCAGTTTGAGCGTGGAATGACTTTGATCATCATGTAATATAGGGATTGCAGTGAACCGATACGCACCAAAATTGAATCAGTCCGGCAGCTTTCAGTGGTAACATCCCATGTTAAATTTCTTCCAAATCATTCTGATGAGTAAGTAGATAGAACTGTGGTCGAACAGACCCCTCATGAATGCATGTACAGACAGAAAAGCACTCATTACGATGTAAATTTACACATGTATAATTTTTCGAGTGTAGTTTGAGTTCTCTTTACAGACATGTTCGTCGCTGAGCTGTTTTTGTTTCGCCACTGAGTTAACTCTCCCAGTAACTTAAGCACATCTCCAGGTACATCATCATCTCCTGTAGCCTTTCCATTCCTCATGTCCTTGATAGCTTTTTCCGCCTCACTTTGATATATGGTCTTTTATCGTCTGTATCTACTTCTTCCGATTCCACTTTCCAGGTTTCTGGCCGATTAGGTCGATCATATAGTTCTGTAATATAATTTTCCCAAATTTTCAGGACTTTCCTCTGCCCTACTATTCTATTCCCCAGGGAGTCTTCGATGCGAATATTTTGAATCCCATGGTTCTCTTTCCATCCTAGTTCTTTTGTCTTCATGTACATCAAATCATAACATCCTGTCCTTTGAAATTCTATAATCTCATTACATATCTTCTCAAGATATTCCTTTTTGGCCCTGTCCGTGGCTCTTTTCAATTCATTCCTTAGTCTCCTGTATTTCCTCCTGCCTTCTTCATTGTTTACACTTCCATTTCCTTCGTTCCTCAATTTTACTCGTCATCTCCTGTGTAACCCATGGTTTTCTTTCTATCTTCTCAACTTTACAAACCAATTTGCTAATAGTATCTAACATGCATTCTTTTATATTGTTCCACTGCACTTCAGCATTTCTGCTTTCACTTTCAGTTGCACTGAGTTTCTCTTCTAGGGTCTCCTGCACGCTTTGTCTTTGAGCATATAACTTCTCCAAATCCCATCTAGGTCTGCGCTTTTGGAATCTTATAATTTTCTTCAACTGGTTTCAAACTTGGCAACCAGTAAGTTGTGGTCAGAGTCAATATCTGCCCCAGGCAGCGTCTTCACATCCTTCACACTGTTTCTGAATCGATGTTTCACAAGGATGTAGTCCAGCTGATGCTGCCTCCAATCCCCAGCTGCCTTCCATGTGTAAAGTCTTCTCGTTGGCTTCTTGAACCAAGTGTTGGTAACAATCACTCCATTTCTTTCACAGAAGTCAAGCATTTGACCCCTGTGATTCCGTCTTCCTAGTCCGTGTGATCCAACAATATTCTGATATGATTCATCTCCAACAGTGCTATTCTAGTCTCCTAATATGATGCTGTTTGTGTCACCTCTTCCATCTTCCTGAAGAATTTCTTCAATTGTGTCATACACTTTTTCCACTTCATCATCTTCATACTCAGATGTTGGCATGTATACTTGCATAATCAGTATATCTACCGGTTCCGCCTTTAACTTGAGAGCAACTGATTGGCTACAAATATAGAATTAGAAAAGTATTGTAATTTGAATTTCTGGATATGATTTGCCCTGATTTTAAAACAGGCGGAGTCTAAAATTTCTCATATCTTCATCTGGAAAAACAAATTAGAAAAAAAAAATAATGCAGGAGCATGCCCGATTTTCAAAAAGTAAAGAAGGAATTTGGCACGTTCTATTATTGGTGTACTACTTACGTGACCATTACGATGTGCAGATAGCTCAGACTGGGTGTCTGCAAAACTATTTAAAAAGTCATAAATACGTGAAAAGAAGGTTCCGTACTTTGGTCCACTGTTATGAATTCGTGTGGTCCGTGGCTGGGTTACAGGCGCGGCGCCAGCTGTACAGGGAAAGATAGCGAGAGGCACCACGGTCACAGTGCTTTAAATCCCTCTTCTGTTGCTGAGAGTAGAGTGGGTAGTCGGTAGGTGGGTAGAGTAATAAATTTCATAAAATGTCAGTACTGGGAGAAAAAGTGAAAGACGATTGCCATGTGTAATTTCCAAACTCTGAGATTTTCAGCTATAGTGTGATACGTAATTCATTTCAATTTTATTTTTTCTTCTAAGTGGTCCGCGGACCATGGTTTGAGAAACGCTGTCCTAGATCATCGCTTAGCTATAAGTAAAACCGAAGAAATGTAGAGTGAACTTCTTAGGTCATCGCTTAGCTATAAGTAAAAGCGAATAATTTTCTTGCATGAATATAGGTCACGTAGACCCGGCTCTCCGCCACCCACTTACGCCTCATCTCAGCCATCCTGTCCGTCATTACGTAACCCAGATTTAGCCACAGTCTGTTTTGAGCCCAGTAGGTCTAAATACGTGTAAATCGTTTGCTTCCGTGGTTGTAATAAAGACGTCTAAATGTTAACGCACGTTGTAAATTGATTGAGCTCTTCTTTAAGTATTGTACTACCACAGTTACTGATAAACAATCTCGTTTCGTCCTTTGTTCTCTTCAAACGAACAGACTTCTTGAATGCCTTAGTGTAAAAACAGTTGAGTCATATTTACAGGATTGTTACACTGCATAGAATTTGTCTTGTTTGCGCACCCTCCCCTCTTTGTGTAAGAAATTTATCCGGTCCTAATTATAAATTTTCAATCCATTAACCGTTGTTAGTGCCGCAATTTCAGTTCCTCACCTGGTATATATGTCAGTCAGGGTGGCTTGGCTGTAACGATACTGTTCACGAGGTTTCCGTTTCAGATGTCGATTGGGCCGACTACACCAAGGCTGTCCAACCTCACTACACTGAATGGTCCTATTGTACCTTCAGTACCCACCCACTGGTCGTATTATAAAAGTAGCCCCAATATTTTTTTCAGTGTGCCGAAACCAAGATATGATGTATGAAGCTCACGAATAAACTTTTTTTTTTAATTTAATACAGTAGGCCCAGGTTGTACCGGGACTTATATCGCGGATTTGGATATACCGCGACGATGTTTTATGTCATACAAATTCGTTTGAAATGTTAATTGCTAGTGGGATGGGACTAAGTCCCTTGTACTGCGGCCACTTCTGGCATATTGTACCAGCCCCAGATGATAGGTGAGGGTGATTATGGAGCAATTGGTGGAATGAAATTTGGCAGGGTTCATCCCCGTTCTTCTTTTCTCTGGTGTTTGTCTTCTGTGCGCTACCTTCGCCCCTCCTTCTTCAGAGGTGCTCGTCCCGAGCAATTCCGTGGTCCAGCTTTCGTCGATCCGTTGTATCACATTCACTCGTCACTTTCATCCATCGCACATTCATTCTCGCTGGGGGGGCCGGTACTTCTACGTTACCGGCTCCTCCTCTGCTTGAAGTATCTTTTTCTGTTTTGGAAGGGGTCGACCCCTTGTCGTAGGCTGACAGAAGATCCGACTATTCGCTTCGCGATCTTCACGCTGACAATCTCGCAAAAGGTCTTATTACGAGTTCTCCCTCCTAGGTGCGATCGCTGTCCTGATCTACACCCTCCGATGGCGTTCTTGGTTGGAACCTTTTTCTTCTGGCATAGCGGCCGTCTGCCGCCTATGTTCTTTATTCCCGTTCTTCCTTTGTGGAAAATCCGCACTCTTTCTCTGGGTCTCCAGATTCTTTCCTCGTATTTGGTCCTGATACAATTTCTCCTACCGACGCTTCTCTTGCGCCAGGCGATTCTTGGACGACCGGACATCTTTCTACCGGTTTCCTTTGTCTGCCGTGCCACTTTCGCACGGTGGCTCGTCCCTCTCCTGGCGACGGCCAATTTCTTCTCATTTCTTCCAAAATTTTCCCTTGTCGAATTCTTCGGTTTCTGGCGGCGGCGCTCCGCGGCAAGTTTTCGGTCCCTACCCCTTTCTTCTTCGGTTCTCCGACCGGCATTACTTCTGCGTCTTCTACGTGGACCTCCCGTCGTTCTGCCGTCTCAGGTTTCATGCCCACTGAGGTCGTCTCTTCTCCTTCTGGACGTGCCTCCATCTCTTGGCAGGCCATCGTCTCCGTGTGTCTTTCTGGTTTGATTTCGGCAACCGTCTCCTTGTGGCTGGTGCCCATATTTTCTCGCGTGTCTTCCACCGGTGCAATAAAACGATTGATTGTTTGATTGTTTGATTGATTGGTTAGAAACTCAAATAAAATGATGGTACCATATTGATGCGAACTGGATGACACTGATAAGCGATCGTCATTAGGCAGTGGTGGTTATAGCAATGGTTTGATCCAAATAAGACTGAAGTTTGATTTATGACAGAATTATGTGTTTCCTATTGTATCAGGGCAGTGACAGACAACATTTACTAGAAATCCAAGACTGAAAATTGCTTTCTTTGTCCTTGTTACAGGTTATGTGGGCTAGCTAGGACTGAGCAATGACTTCCTAGCAAACTTTTTCGCTAGTTTCTTCAACACTGGCAGAATGCGCAAGTCCCATGAAGCAGACAGTCACTCAACATGTTCAACAGCTAATCAGCGGAAACGAGGATTAGCACGCTTTTCATTGCGTCGTCTGCTTTACTCTAGTCCTCTTGTAGCCAGGCGAGTTACTAGAGGTTCTTCTAGCACCTCTAAGAATTCAAGAAGTACAGGTGTGTATGCTTATGTTTAAGGGTGTATGAGCCATTGCCATTGTTTGACACCTACAGAACATCTGTCCATTCAGGTAGCTATACTGACTGAGCTTGTTGACTAAAAGCGGTATTGATCTCTAGTGTTTGTCTTTCTTTTTGTACCTAACTTCACAACTGTCATTTACTACCTCTGATATTCATGCTGGAAACTGAAGTGAGACACACACAGAGCTTTCTAGTGGGGTTCCAGAAGGAACCTATGTGTAAACTGTAGATAATTATAGTGGTATAATATCATTAGCTGAGTTTTGTGGTCCAGAGTCACATGACTGTTCACTGATTTCGATACCGACTGTAAATACTGATGGGCCAATTTTTGTTAAGTTCCTCGACTGTAATGAACATAATAATCATGTGAGATTTTTTTTTTTGTGTATGAGTGAAAACTGATGTGTTGCTATAATTAGACATACTGAATTTGTATAGTGACACGTTACAAACATATCTCTTAGTTGTACAAGTTTTGTTAAAAGTTTATAAAACTTGATCCATCAGAACTGTCATATAATCACACCATAAGAAAGTCTTCAGTTTCTGTACTTTTTTACATTACATGTAAAGAGAACAATGCAGGAAGATATATGAAGTACTGAAGTTGGAAGATAAACATGTAAACAAATGACTGGGCTCCGGTACCTTTATTATCGCATATTTAATTTTTATTGCCTCTCAAACACAGAACTTTAAAAGCTCAGAATTGTTGATGTGGGTAGATTTTACATGTGTTAATTTTCAAGGACATATTGACATTTTCCAGTATTAGACATTAATTATTGTCTTATTTTTAAATTGCAGTTGATTTTTTCCCATAGTGTTTATGCTTAAATTGTCCTGTTACACTTGTTCAGTTCACTTGTTTTAATTTATATTCTGATTATACTTTCGTTTTAAAGTTAATGATAAGCCTGTATGCACCTCTTTAAATATAAGATTTTACATTAGAAAGTGAGGTACTTCAAACCTCTAAATTTATAAAATTATTATCATATGATTTGAAGGAGATGGACGTGGAAGTGGGCCATCTAGAGATGTGGAGAGAGGAGAAGCTGTCCGGCTCAGTAGTGTTGTTACTGGAGGAACTCCACTTCATGATGACCTGCAGCAAACTCCCAGTAAGGCCTCAGGCTTTGGAACAAGTGCTGGAAAGGTCACTGCTTCAGATATTACCTTCTCTTCATAATATGAAACTAGCCCTTATACTGCCTCTTATCAGTAGATTAATATTTCATATCCAACATGTTTATGCTCTTCAGAATTATAATATGCAACTATTCTGTGGTGATAGAAGTGAACACTGAGATATATGTTTCATTTCCAAAAAATTCAGATTAAAAATAATTCAGTTCAAAACCTTAAAGAATTAATAATATAATGTATGAAAAATGTTACTTATATAGGCCCTACAAAGACACTGGGAAGATTCAGCTGCAAATTATTATCTTATATTATGGTTTAAAAATATTCAGTTCACTCTCTGTAACATGTCCAGATTATTTTCCAGTAACCTTTATGTTATGTTATAATCTGTGCTTATGTTATCAACCTTTTTTGATCTATGATAGTATACTTGTAAAATGAAATGTTTTTGCCCAGCACAGATAATAAACAGACAAGGCAACCCGTAGGTGCATGATGGAGAACATATAACTTAATTTTATACAAGGAGATCGAAAAGTCGCACATATCAAACTAAAAGTTGTTATAAATTATATTGCAGTTAATATAATTATCTCCTACTGCTAGATTGTACTGTAGGAGTACTAACAACGAACAGAAACACCATCTGTCATGTATTGGTCATACGACGTCTGCAGTATAGCTTTGTTTATTGCATGACAGACAAGTCGTTTTCCCAAGAACGAGTTTTCATTGTGGAACATTATTTCACCAGTTGTTCTTCACTGACAAAGTGTGGTTTCACCTTAGTGGCTACGTGAACAGTCAAAACAATAGGATTTGGTCATCTGAAAATCTGTATGTGTTACATGAAAAGCCCTTGCACTGTCAGAAAATTGGAGTGTGTGTGCTGTATCACGTCGTTGAATAGTGGGCCCAATTGTCTTTGAAACAGCAGTGAACAGTCCAGTGTACCAGGGTCTGTAAAAACAATCTGCATACACTGGATGACCTCAAGAGGAACATTACAACAGCGATTAACAGCATCAGGTGCTCCACAAAGTGGCCTTAGATGTGGTAAAAAGAGCTCGCGCATGAATTGCTGAACAGGGAAGCCATTTCGAGCATTTGTTGTAAAGACATGATTTGATTTTGCATTTCTAAGATGTAAGGTTATAAACATTAATAGTAAGTGCTGTATGTCTCATTAAACCAGCAAAATAAAATTGCTTAGTATGATGTGCGCGACTTTTCGATCTCCCTGTAGTTGCAGCACCTGCTGGCAAGCCATGGTTGTAAGACATACTGTACCTCTGATTTTTTTAAGAAAAGACCAAAAATGTAAACAAATATAGAATAATATAGTATAATGCTGTAAAATTAGTAAAATTCAAAATTTGATCAGTAATGTTAAATCCAGACTTATCAGCCATGTCAAGTTTTGAAGATAATTGAGGGTAAATTGTATTTACAAATACTAGGTCTTTGATATTACAATAGCTCAATTGCTATTAAAGTGGAATGACATTTTACAAGTTACCGTGTGGACATAGTTTCAGTTCAGGGTATTCTGTATGGGATTTGTGGTGAGAATGTGACATTTGTGCCATTTTACTTGGTGTATGCATCTCGTAAGTTCAGTTCACCTTAGCTAAATATTTGTCATAATGGAAGGAATGTTCAGTCCCATGTATCTGAAACACTACTGAAATGGTTACAAATTTGCCTTACATATGTCTTTATTATATAGTCTTGAGATGTTATTTTAGACAAATTTTATTGGATTTAGTTTTTCTTATGATTTTGTTCAAATTCCTGGGACATCAGTTATTCTAGAGTATTATCACACTGTGGCCCTGGGGTCAACTCAACCTCTAACAGAAACGAGTACCAGGAATATTCTTGGAATGTTCTTGGGCATAAAGGGCTGCTGGCACGTAAAGCTGACAACCTTACCACCATCTGTGAGCCGATTATCTAGAAAATGTGAGAACCTCAACCTCTCACAACCCTACGAGCCTCCACGGCCTGTTACAGGGATAACTTTACTTTATTATTAAATATTACAGTGGAAAACTATTATCTTAAATTTTATCATGTTAGGAAACTTCATGTCTTTTATAAGGCTCCAAGATTTTTCCTATACTTATCTCACAAAATGGCTTATTTTTCCTCAGAGTGGTGAATTGGGTATTGCTGAATGTCCACTCTGTCTCGCAGAGTTACCAGTGGAATACTTCCCAGAACTGTCTACGTGTGGCCATCGTTCTTGCTATGATTGTTACCAGCAGTATCTACGGATTGAAATATCAGAGTCCCGAGTCAGCATAGCCTGCCCAGAATGTTCCGAGCCAATGCATCCAAATGGTGAGAACACTTATAATATTGTCACGTGTATGACATAACTAGTTGGGGTTTGGATTGGTAATCGGATTTATTGGGCTCTTTGATAAAACACGTGACTGCACTTTACCATTCACTATTACACACACTAAAGTCCATAGTCAGATCTTCACTAGCTGTTGTTAGTTAGCAGCTTTCAACAGCAGCAGTTCGTCTTCATCTGGGTTTCCAAACTATCCCTGGCCTCAACTGCCAGTTTCTCACACCAGCAGCTCACAATGACTGAGCCAGAGCAATTATCTGAATGGCTCACAAACTCATCCTGCTTATAACATCTCGGCACAGACTGCACAGAGGACACCATTCCTATGTTCCTGTGCCATTGTTGCCCGTTGGGGTTTCCACATGATTGCTACTCAGCCATTGCCTAGCAGCGGCCGTTGTTTGCAGAGCCAGTATTTAACAGTGGCTGTTGTATAGTCGCTTATTTCACAGTCATTGCCTAGCAACAGGTCTGTATTCCACACTATTATATGGTGACAAGGACAGTGTTTATCAAAATGTTTTACAGTTCTGAAAGCCTGTTAGCCCTTTCAGTGCCATATTGTTTTTGCATGCAGAAAACAACTGTGCTGAATTTCTTTTTGCTGTTTTATGTTAAAGAGGTCTGCATCACAGAATAATATAATGGAAAGGCTTAGGTTTATTACCAGTGGAAGTATCCTGATGTCTTCTTTCATGAACTTTTTAAAATGATTGTATAAACTGGATTGTGTTCTTATTCTGAAGTGTTCATGTCTTTCAGATATTCGGATGATTTTGAATGATAAAATGCAATATGAGAAATATGAGGACTTCATGGTGCGTCGAGTATTGGCTGTGGACCCAGACACACGCTGGTGCCCAGCTCCAGACTGCAGGTATAACTCTTTTCCATTGTGTTACATTGCAGTACTTATGCATGAGAGAAAAGGGAGGGACTGTAGTAATGAGTCTGGTCTTTCATACTGTCTTAGGATGTTGATGGATGCCATAAATTAAAATTAACATTTATTTTTATTTATTTTGTGCTTGCTCAAAATCTAAATTCCATATCCTGTAATTATGAACAATGTGAGATATCATGACTGCATATTTCATTGTATTACACCAGTTATACACTATTCTTGGGAAATTATTCTGAGTTCGTCAGTGACATTCAGTTGGCAGTTTAGACAGTAATGTCAGGTAATTGGGCTGTGCCATAGCTCAAGTGGTTAGTCACTGGCTTCTCACCGAGGCGGCCCAGGTTCAGTCCCGGGTCTGGTCAAGTGGGATTTGTGGTGGGCAAAGTGGTGCTGCAGTAGCTTTTCTCCAAGTACTTCGGTTTCCCCTGCCAATCTTCATTCCACCAATTGCTCCACAATCACCCTCACCTATCATCTGGGGCTGGTACAATAGACCAGACATGGCCGCAGTACAAGGGACTTAGTCCCACCCCATTAGCAATAAAAAAATGTTAAGTAATTAGTTTTGGGGATAGAGTTTCCAAGTCAACTCTGTTCAAAATGTAATGCGAAATGTGCAGTCTAAACATTAGAATCACTAGCCTATGGAAATTCTTGCAGGGTGATTATGACATTTCAGCCACTTTTAAAATTAAAAATCAACATGGACTCGCATGTCACTTTGGTGACATAGCAGATCTGAATTTTGAATTTGTAGCGTCGAATGTACCATCTAGTATGTATGCTGAAACATACTTCACACCTGACTTTAGAACAGTTCTGACATGTCTTGTACGTGCTCCGTTCACAACAGTTTTGTGTAAGGCCAATAACTCACAGCCAAATCTTGGAACTTTGAATCATTAATAAATTAGATACATTGTAGTCTAAATTATGGAAGAGACGCTTTTAATCAACCAGCAGTGTGCATTAGTAAAACTTTGTTTTTGTGTGGTGAATTGGATACATGCTTTGGATGGAGCCACATATAATTGAGGGTCAAATGAGTTTTTTTGACAAACTGTAAATAAAAAAGTTGTTCCTGTGCTTAATTAATTAAGCAATTGTGCACCATGCCATGAAGATGCATGGGTAAGTGGAAGTATAGCTCCACCATTCTTGACCTTGGCACTAGATGGAGGTGGGTGGTCAGCTTCACGCCCCTGCCACACCAAGGTTCCCATTGGTTACGAAAAATGTGAAAATGGACATTGGCATGCAGTAAAAGTGTGAAAATAGGCATTGACCTGCAGACAGTAGAAGTTGCATGGTGACAGCATAATATGTTATTCCATATCTTAGAAATTCACTTACTGCTTAAAAGGTTAACTCTTGTGATTTAATGCCTTGTGTTATGCAGTTTTGCTGTGATAGCAGCTGGATGTGCCAGTTGCCCAAAAATCAAGTGCGAACGTCCCGGTTGTGATGCTTACTTCTGCTATCACTGCAAAGCAGAATGGCATCCAAACCAGACTTGTGATGCAGCTAGAGCTCAGCGATCTCCAAATGTGCGTTCTTCGTCTGTCAGCTTCAGTCAGGACTCACAGCATCGTAAGTCTCTTCTTCTAGGTGTATGCATTTGGATTTGCGCATGTGTGTACATGGCACATGCGCTTGCCTTTGCTTGCACACAGGTCATGCAGATATATGAAATCAAACATTATTTCCATTAGCATGAGTGAACTTGAAGTGGCAGAATATAAGTATAATTATAAACATTGAATTTTGCACAAAATGTACCGTAAGTCCAAAAAGTATCCAACTTAATTTTTTCCACTGTAAATAATGGCCAAAGGGGTGGGGAAACTGAGCATAGTGGTAGAAGGGACTTTCATGCGCATGCCTGATTTTTTGCTCACTCGCAACACTGCCGGATGCATCTGTGGCTGCCAGATAGTGAAGCGGTGTAACACGTGTTCGTCGCATTCTTGTTTCGCTCAAGAGGACAGAACGCTTGGAGCAGCGATACGGCATTAAGTTTTGTCAGAAACTTGGGGATACCCAAGCGGAAACAATTGGCAAATTAGCAGGCTTTTGACGATGATGCAATGGGGGTCACTTAAATTAAAGAGTGGTTCAACCACTTTAAACATGGTCGTATGTCAGCGGACAGTGAGCAGCATTCCAGGAGACCTTCAATGCTGATGTCATTGAAAAAGTGCGGACACTGATCATGGAGGACCATCATTTGGCCATCTGTGAAGTTGCTGATACGGTTGGGATCAGCAGAGGTTCTGCAAACACAATTTTAACTGAGGATTTGGGCATGCGAAGAGTGGCGGCAAAATTTGTGCCCAGGCTGCTTTCACCGGAGCAACAACAGCTCCATCTTGAGGTCACGCAGGACATGCTGGAGCACGCCAACAGGGATCCTGAGTTCCTGAAGACTGTGATCACTGGTGACGAGTTGTGGGTGTACGGATATGACCTGGAAACCAAGGTCCAGGCGTCACAATGGAAGCATCCAACATCCCCGAGGCCCAAAAGAGCACGACAGGTTCAGAGCAATGTGAAGGTGATACTGACTGTTTTTTTCGATTACCGGGGTGTTGTGCATGATGAGTACGGACCTCTAGGCCAGACTGTCGATAAGGAGTACTACCAAGAAGTCCTCCGCCATCTTCGTGATCCAGTTGGGCACAAGAGACTGGAGCTGTGGGACGCACGCAACTGGCAGGTGCATCATGACAACACCCCAGCTCATTCATCACACCTGATCCAGGGTTTCCTGGCCAAGCATGGCATTCCACAGGTTCGCCAGGCTCTCTACTCTCCTGACATGGCTCCTTGTGATATCTGGCTGTTCCCAAAATTGAAGACACCTCTAAAAGGCTGCCGTTTTGACAGCCGAAAGGACATCATATAGAACGCAATGGCGCAGCTGCACGCCATTCCAAAAGAAGCCATCCAGCGATGGAAGGACCTCTGGGCTAAGTGTGTGGAGTCACAAGGGGCCTACTTTGAAGGCGATTAGATATTGTAACCACCCAGATACAGAACTTTTTTTTCCCGGCCCAAGGTCAGATACATTTTGGACAGAGTAGTATATCACTTCATCAGTCTAGTTATGTTTGTGTTTGAAAGGAAAACGAAATTGTTTACTTAATTTATGATGAAAAGCAGACAAGTTTTTTATTAAAAATGATAGAAAGAGTGGTAAGATTTCTGTTCAGTTCAAATTGTAATTCAGGTATTATACAAAGTAGTGAACTTCTTCTGATTACACGCGCACACAGCACTAAAATCATTTTTGTATAACATCTAGGGTGCCATCATTAGAACTGGTAATTTTCTTTCACAGTTATAATGAAATTAATTTCCAATTTACACATATAAGAAATAATTTACTGAAGTACCATTATTGGAACTAAATAATTTTCTTTCATAACTAAAGGAAAATTTATGTATGTAATAAATAACAGATAACATAAATAAATCCAGAAAGCAGATGTTGCACCAAATAAAAAATTCAGAATTGATTGTAGAGTTTTTTGTCCACATCTTGAGTGCCTTGGCTTGCAGAACCTCAGTCCAGGTACATAGAGGACTGAAGGTGATGATTGTTAAATACTATAGAGTAAGCAGTTGTTCTTTGTTTCAGTCTTGATTCTATGAGTGTAAAAAAAGAATGTTCCAAATGTAAAAGTGTAGTTCTCAGATCAATACCAATTTGCCTTTTCTGACTTCTCAAAATGCTTACGAAGAAACGTACAGTGTAGAGTTACACTGTAAGAAGTTGGGTGAAAAATTCCTCTTCTCTGTCTTCTTCTTCTTCTTCTTCTACTAAGATTGTATCATATTCGTCCATGATATAGTGCCGAAACATGATGTGAAGTGACAGGTGAAAGTGGATGCACTGCAAGACGGACACTGTATATATATCATGGACGAAAATCAGTGCAACAGGATGCTAAAATACAACATTATGTATCATATTCAGTAATACATTATAATTATATTCTCCACAGTGAGTACATAAAATTGATTTGTTATCAAATGTTTTGGATGATCAGCCATGTCAGGATGATTGCCTTAGAAATTTTATTACTCAGCCAAGTCCTATTACATAGACTTGACTTCTAGGAAATTTCAAGGTGATTGGAACTAAGTCATACTTTAAACATCATTAAAATTATATCATGCATCAAATTTGGTAGTTTCATTATGTATATTAATTATGCCTTCATTAAACTTATGAATACATAATAAGAAACATAGTGCACTGAGAGCATTACTATACAAATAGTGATTACATTGTGACCCTTTCTAAGTTGTGAAGTTGTCTTGCAGGTGATGACATTAAACCATGTCCACGATGCCAGGTATTGATTGTGAAGATGGATGATGGTTCCTGCAACCATATGACTTGCGCCGTGTGTGGAGCTGAGTTCTGTTGGCTCTGTATGAATGAGATTACTGATCTCCATTACCTAAGGTAATTCGCTAAAGCCATACATAGAAGTGACCATTACACTGGTTCATTTCCACTTCTTGAAACACGGGTAAATCAGATTTTAAGGCCTCTTGTGACACAACTGAAATTACAATCCATGCTCCACATCTCTGTGTGTCACAATTTTATTCCTGTGTTATTTGTTTTAAAGTTATAAAACTAACTTTGAAAATATGAATATACAAGTAATGCACTTAGTTACAATTACATTTTGCTGAGATATATAATTCTCTTCTTGCAGTCCATCAGGTTGCACATTTTGGGGCAAGAAGCCATGGTCAAGAAAAAAGAAACTTCTCTGGCAGCTGGGCACATTGGTTGGTGCTCCTGTAGGAATCAGCCTAATTGCAGGCATTGCAGTACCTGCTATGATCATTGGTACGCACATTATATTTATGTACAGTATTTGAAAAGAACAAAGGAGTTCTGGTCAGAACTCATAAAGCCTACTTCCCTTTCACATAGCTCTCTAGTCCTATAGATGTGTTACTGTTATTGACATTTTATTTTATTTTTGAGAGGAACGTATTTCTTAAATACAGATTTAGTTTATATTAAATTTGTCATATAACCTCAGAGGTTCACACCATCAGAATATTTGCAATTGTTTACTTTTAAACATTATTTTTCACATAATGTGTAGGTAGGTTTATGACATATCTCTCTCTGAAGTTGTTTATTAGTTATCCCCATTAAACCTAAAGTTAAAAAAAAATTCTCACTGCTGCCTTTTGTGTTTTGCATTTTATGAAGAAGTTGCTTTCACAGAAATGCATATCTATTACCATGCATGATTTCAGAACCCTAAATCAAGTGGTAATAGTGTTGCTGCCACCTGACAGATTCATGCTGTCAGTGGCATAACATTCATACCAAATTTCATGAAAATAAGCTAACTTGTCCAAAAACTGGAATGCAGGGATGCACAGACACTCACACACATACACACCAACAGCATTGTATTCTCTTTAGCCTACTTTTACCTTTAAGGAAAGTTGCTATTGGAAAGTTCCTGGACTATTATTGTTCTAACTGCCTTGGTGAGAGAAGGTGAGAGGGGAGGCCAGGGTCACACTTCCGCAAGCCTGTTGCATCAGTCTACCACGTGACACCACGCTGTGAACGCTCATTGTTTTTACACGAGTGCTTTTTTGAATTTGTGTTTCGTTTTGTCTGCAATGGATGGCAAAATCAAGCAATACGAGGTGTGTTCAGGAAATAACGGGAATTTTAAAATTTCGCGGGTTTGGAGAGTCCAATTGTCAAAATTTTTTTTTTATTATGTTGGTATACATGCCCCTGAAGTACAATAAAATTTTCAGCTGTATTCATTGCTTACTTTGTCTGTGGCAGCCGCTAAGGTTAGACGTGTTTTTATGAGCTTGGCGATTTTCGTTTGTTAAAAGAAATGGATCAAAGAATTTGTATCAAATTTTGCGTAAAAAATGAAATAAAGTGTTACAAAGTGTGTGAAATGTTAACAAAGGCCTATGGTGAGTCTGTTATGAGTAAAACAAGAGTTTACGAGTGGTATAAGCGTTTCCAAGATGGCCGTGAAGACGTTGCAGATGACGAGCGCCCCGGACGCCCCAGCACATCAACAACCGATGAAAACGTGGAAAAAGTGAAAGCAATGATTATGAATGATCGCCGAATCACAATCAGAGAAGTCGCTGATGATGTTGGCATATCGATTGGCTCATGCCATGAAATTTTTTCGAATGTTTTGGGTATGAAACGCGTGGCAGCAAAATTTGTTCCAAAATTGCTGAATTTTGAACAAAAACAGCGGCGAATGGAAGTTGCTCAGGAATCACTAAAGGAAGTCAACGATGATGCAGAATTACTGAAACGTGTTATAACAGGTGACGAAACATGGGTTTACGGATATGACGTTGAAACTAAGGCTCAATCGTCTCAGTGGAAGCATCCTGGATCGCCAAGACCGAAAAAGGCTCGACAAGTGCGTTCGAACGTGAAGGTTATGCTTACTGTGTTCTTCAATTTTAATGGCATAGTGCATCATGAATTCTTGCCTCAAGGTCAAACGGTCAATAAGGAGTACTACCTGAAAGTTCAACGCCGTTTGCGTGAGGCAATCCGAAAAAAACGCCCGGATTTGTGGAAAAACAATTCATGGCTTTTGCACCACGATAATGCACCTGCTCACACTTCGTTGCTTGTTCGTGAATTCTTGGCCAAAAACAATACTGTAACGATGCCCCAGCCTCCATATTCGCCAGACATGGCTCCGTGTGACTTTTTCCTATTTCCAAAAATAAAGAGAACCTTAAAGGGCCGTCGTTTTACAAGCATAGATGACATTAAAAGCGCATCGCTGAAAGAGCTAAAGGCTATCCCAAAAATCGAGTTTGAGAAGTGTTTCGATGATTGGAAGAAGCGCTGGCGTAAGTGCATAATATCGAATGGGGACTATTTTGAAGGCGACAACATTAATGTAGACGAATGAATAAATATTTTTTCCAAAATACGGAAATTCCCGTCATTTTTTGAACACACCTCGTATGTCTGCATCAAGTTTTGCGTGAAGCTCAGTAAATCCACTGCCAAAACCCTTGAAATCCTTTGTGAGGCTCTTGGAGAATTTTCTTTAAGCCGTGTGGCAGTTTTTGATTGGCATTCACGTTTGAAGGCCAGTTGAGTGTTGATTGAAGATGATGAACATTCATGGCGACCAAGCACCAGCAAAACTACAGAAAATGTTGAAAAAATTTGAGAACTCTTCCATGGAGACCATCACCAAACAATCCATGAGCTCACAGACACCACTGGGATCAGTTATGGAGTTTGCCAGGAGATCTTAACAGAAAATTTGAACATGCACCACATTGCCACGAAGTTTCTTCCCCAACTCTCAACAAATGATCAAAAGCAGCGGTGCATAAACATGTATCTTGAGCTATCCCTCTGGGATCATAATGGATTATGAAAGTTGGATTATGGTTATGATCCAGAAACAAACCAACAGATGTTGCAGTGGAAGAGCCCACAATCACCAAGAGCAAAAAAAGTGCTGCAGGTCTGGAGCTTAACAAAGAGCATGCCCATTGTTTCTTTTGATGTGAAGGGGATTGTTCACTGAATTTGTTCCTCCTAACACTAGTCAGCTCTGACTTTTACTGTAACGTTTTGAGACGCTTGAGAGAAAATGTGCGATGAAAACACCAGAACTTTGGTGCAACCAGAACTGGCTCCTTCATCACAAGAACGCGCCTGGCCACCTGTTCCTGAAAAGCACAGAGTTTGTGACTTACAGCAATATGGTTATCATTCTCCATCCTCCCTTCTGGCTGAACTTAGTCCCCCATGATTTAATTTTGTTTCCCAAATTGAAAATGAAACTGAAGGGACAACGTTTTTTAAATGTGTCAGACATCCAAAGGGAATCGATTGCTGTATACATTCCCAAGGAGACTATTTTGAAGGAGATGGTAGCCAAGATTGATTAAGTTGAGCTAGCATTTCATTTTTACCTGGTCCGGGAACTATCCGATAAACCTTATATATTGTAAAATGATTCACTAATGTCACTGGTTGAAGCACAAATTGCTTATTTATAGTTAGAGCATTTAATGTTCCACATGTGAACAGGTTTTGTGTCCATCTCCCTTCCAAATTACCAAAAATCCTTGTATTGATATGTGGTCATTCCTGATTCCCATTTTTCTTTTTTTATTATTTACTGTTTCATTTTTTCTCATGTTTGCTACATCCAGAGTCTTCAGTTGAAATGTAAAGGTGCTGCTGGTGATAGTATGTCAATATTTTTTTGTGACTATACAGGGATTTTCTCAGTCATCTTTTTACTGTAATTAATACTGAATTTCTGTTGAAGTAGAGAGTCTGAGGTTGAGTGAAAACCCCTGTGCCCAGTCCTTTATGGTCACTCTGTAAATGCTGTCGCTCGCGATAGAGTAATCAGTTTGTTCCTTGCGTGAAAATATTCAAAAGGAACAATGATGCCATGTAAACCAATACCATGCCTTAGAAAGAGGGCCAGAGGAGAAGGAGGAAGGCAAATAGGAACAGCAAGATAGCTCTGAAACTAAGCTTTCTTGTTGAAGTGTTATTGCATGTCATTTGAGCAGGAAAAGAATGCATAGACCAGACTGAGGGCACACATTGTAGCATCACATTCCATCTCAGTTGAATGCTTTTAGTATGACAGCTTAAGGTAGGCTCCACACTGGCATGCATCAAGATATGTAACACTCAAGACACGATGTCTGCAACATGACACAAAGAAAGGAGCACAGTTGAAACAAATGAGATTATGAAAACCGCCGCACACCAGTCTGAGTCATGATGCTGATGTCAGCTTCATGCTGACAAATCACAAATGAAGCAAGACTGCGTCTTTTGTCCCATGTCTTGATGCAGTTGGTGTGCGGCTGCTCTAAAAGACACAGGATTGCCCAAGAATATTATCTTTCAGTGTAAATTGTATATATTTTTGTAAATATCTTTGTGTTGTAGTCTTCTGGGTTATGACACTCTGCAGTCTGATAAATGATTTTTATGGTAAAACTATTTAATAAGTGTAAAACAAAAACTATGAAAAATAACGTAAAAATGTTTCACCAAAATATACATGGTTTAAGAAATAAGTATAATGAAAAATTATGTCATTTAGAAGAGTATACACCTCAAGTACTCTGTTTCACCGAACATCATCTTGGTAGTGATGAAATAGTTTATATTGTAACGTGTTTCGTTACTGAAGACGCTGTAGAGATGGTTAATTGGTTTATTTAACAATCTACAAATAACGGCTACAATTAATTATCACTATATTACGGGTTTCCACACTGTACAAACCCTACAACAAAATCTCTTAACACAATCTTCACTTGTCTTCACGTACTAATAACGCGGGAGCTATACAAGTCTCCCTGAATTACACACTCCGAGTATAACTGTACTACAGCACTCACTATGTCTGGAAAGCACACGAAAAGTCTTCCGCTCGCTGACTTCTTAAGTATCGCACACTCGCAGGCTGCTATGTTTCAACTCGGCGACTGTTACTTTATAACTGAAGTCACCGACTGCCACAGTAGAACTCACTGGTACCAGCTGTGCAGCCCACTTATATAGCTGCAGTGCTTGCCGGTTGCGTAATGAGTGCCACGTCATCCTGTTACGTCACCACTGTTGACTCGCCTTGCATAGTTACCAGGTTGCGGGGGCTCGGCTATCTTCGGCTCCGCTCGTGACGTCACCGCGCATAGCTGCCAGGATGCGGGGTGATTACTCGCCTATTACGCGAGCGTTACGTTACCGCTGAGGGGTGGGAGGGGAGCGCTGACTCACCCGCCGCGTCACTGCTGGTGTGGGGGGGGGCTCGGCTTTGTGCA